AGGAAGGTTTTAGCACCCTATTACACCCAAAATTGGTACCAAATTAATCATATGTTATCTTATTAAAGCCTTAATCAAAGATGGTCTTTTTATGAATTTTGATATTTAAATATTGGAAAAAGGTCTTTAGGCTTTCAGCTTAAATGAAATTTCTCTCACCTCAAGAGTATTCAAGATAAACTCATTGTTTACATGAAAATGCTCTATCGTCGAATTTATTAAATATCTTTTGACAAATCAATTCCAGCTTCTTTTTATTTATTTACAAATATTGTCATACAAAAATTTTATAAAAAATATCATGATCAAATATTAGAATCAAAACATACAATACTATTAAAACATGCAAATATCAGAATCATGCAATAAATCTTGTAAATATATAATAAATCATACAAAAAATATTATATAAAAATATTATATCATACCAAACAACATGCAAAGATATCATGTAATAAAAAAATCATGTCATAATATAAAATATCATGCAATTAATCAAATTCATGAAAAAAAAAAATCACGCAAATAAATTACATTCATAAAAACATCATGCAAATAAACCATAAAAATCTTACCAAACTCTTTTTTCTTTTCCTCATCACTTTAATTTAATCACATAATTAAAATAATAAATAAAAAAAAGGAAAAAATAATAAGGAGAAAATAAATAGAAAATAAAATAAAATAAAAATAAAAAACAAAAACAAAGACAAAAAGAAAAATGAAAAATAAAAAGAAAAATGAAAACCTACGATCGGGTCAGATCCAAAGTGGTTAGGCATGGGTCACCATTGGCTACACGTGGATCTTAGCTTTTTTAAATGGTGTCATATGACGTTACTATAAAAGCCAAAATTTCCTTTTTTCCTAGATATTTCCTTCTCTTTCTTTCTCTTTAAGCCAAATTCTCTCTACCTTCTTTCTACAATCCCATTGAAAAATTTAACAAATTCTAGAAATTGGCTAAGCAACCGAAATTCTAGTGTAGGGAAATTCAATCGACTATTGAAAAATTAAAACTTTTCTCTGAAAAGTTCACAAACCTAGAGAATGATCACCCATCCTTCCTCTAACCACTGTAAATTTAACTAAAAAACTTAAACCCCGTAGACAAATTCAAAGAAAACCTAGAAATTCAAATCTAATTCCAAAAATTCAAAGAAAAAAGCCAAAAATTTCCCAAAAAACCCAAAATTCAAGAATCAAGCTAAAACCCAAAAATTCAAACTAGAATCCAAACATTCCTAGCCTAAAGTCCCAAAATTGCAAGGAGATCCCAAAATAAAAAACCAAAAACTTGAAACTTTCCCAATCCCATAACAAAATCCCAAAATCTTCCAAGACCAAAAAATTCAAATTTTAAAATCCCAAATCCTAACCCAAAAAATTTTGTATGCTCTAATTTGCTTGATTGCTTATCCCTTAATTATGTATTGCTTGTTCTTTACATAAGGATCAAACCTCTTTCACTTAAGAAATTTTCCAAGTCCTACTAAATCTAGACAAAATTTCCAAGATTTTATTTCTATGTGATTTTCCTTTTTTCCATGGATTGAAGCTCAAGAATTTCCATAGGCAATTAATCATAATTGGATCCAAAGAGTGGCCAATTTCTTTTTGCAAAATATCACTTGTTTTTTCTTTGGCTTTTTTGACTTCTTGTTTTGCTGACTTTGTTGACTGTTGACTTAAAAAAAACAAGAATAAAAGTTAAACTAAAAAAAACTAAACTAAAATTACTAATACAAATTTGGGCTTTTAATTTTTTTGGACCTAAAATTTATTTTTCAAATCAATGCCTAATTTACAATCAAAGCCCATTTATACCAGAAAATTTTTTGAACAAAATGGGGTGTTTACATTTGTCTTCCTTTGCACATTTTTTATGAATAGGAAGTATACAAAGATAAAAGATATCAATTTTGTTCAGGTCAAGAAAAATAAAAAATAAAAACAGAGACTCCTCCTTAATAATGGCTTTGAAACTTTTGAAAATGAAATACTCCACCTCAACAAAAGTTTTGAAACTTTATAAAAATAAAATACTTTCCCTTAACAAAGGCTTTGAAACTTTCAAAAAAAAAAAAAAAACTCCCCTTCAACAAAGGCTTTAAGACTTTTAAAAAAATAAAATGTTCCCTCAACCAGTAGACTTGCTTAAGGGCTAGACAACCTACCCAAGCCTAAAGGCCCATCCAAGTTTTGAAAGGGCTTAGACAAAAAATTAAAGCTCATTAAACGAGCTTAGACACAATTTTTAGGCCCATTTAAAATTTGGGTTGGGTCTTGGATAAACTATTTCAAGCCCAAGCCCAACCCAACCCGAATTTAAATATATATAAACTTTTTATTTATATATATATATATGAATTATATAAAAATTAATTCTCGTATATGTAAAAATTAAATATTTTATTAAACTTAAATTTTATTTTATATGATTTTTATTTTTATTTTTACATATATAATTTTATTTTTAATTTATATATATGTGATTTAAATATAATCCATTTAAACTAAATTTAATCACATATTTTTAATTTTTTATTATATAAATTAAGTTAAATGGGTGGGTTTGGGAGGTTTGGGAAAATTTTGAGACCTAAAATTTTGGGTTAGGTTGGACTGGGCAAGCATATAAGCTATTAATCCCAGACATGAGTCGGGCCCAAACCTGAGCCAGCTCAGCCTATGAACACTTTTACCCATCGAAGCCTTTGGAACTTTTGAAAAATAAAAGAGATATTTAGGATATTCAATATCATGCTCTAAGGTCTTATAGGTCATTTTCATCTTTGAAAAAGTTCCTCATTAACAGTGGCATTGAAACTTTAACAAATATTCTTACTTTAAAATGATTCCTTTCATCTCAACCTGTTCATCATTAACCATCTACCAATGTCTGTTCTCAAAATCATTTCAACATCTACTTTCTCCTTCATACTTTTCATGTATATGCAATGAATGAAAAGTTTTTGTAAAATTCTCAAATTTAATTTCAAAATTTGAACTTTAATTTTTCTATGTTTTGAACATGCATAATTAATGCAATGAACGTAATGCATAAATTCAATGAATGCAATGAATGTAGTGAATGCAATGCTTGCAATGCGATTTATTTATCTTTTCAGTGGTGGCAAATTAGAAGGTTTTCAAAGCTCTTTCCATATCTTCTCTTCATTTTCTTTAACCCTTCAACACTCATAGTTTACAACATGGATTATAGTCTCATCCATTTTGTCATCCAATTTCAAAGATTTATTTTTCAATGTGAGCTCAAGAATTTTTATTTTGAATTGGTAGGGATTTGACATTTTCCAAGCTTTCTTACCATTCCATATTACCCTTACTATTTTAAATCTTCTTTTAACACAATATGGAGATCTTTTATGAATTTTGTTCGTTTACTCATCATTATTACAATATCACAATAAACACAATGCAATCATGTATTTCCTCAATCAAAATGGAGAGAAATAAGGCAACATGGAAAATCAAAAGGTTATTTATTGAAATGAACAAATTTGGTAAACAGGGACAATGATTAATCAACAATTAAATGAATATCAATTATTCAAACAATGAACATTCCAACAATCTTGAGCAATCTAATCTAAAATTCTTTTCTCAAAGCCTATTCTATCAATAATCTTAACCATGATAGGCTTTATCACACTAACTTTGCCCTTGTGTGACGAGTTCTTTATGATGATGTTCCATCCTTACATCTAAGCTACCTTTTTCAGATTTTTAACTTAGATATTTCCTTTCTTACTCAAACTACCCTTTTGGGTTTTCACCTTGAGTCATTGTCTTTATTTTTTTCTTTTTTTTAAATAAAATATTTCTTCATAGCATCGAATTGACTAGATTTGGCAATTCATCCCCATCTATTTTAGCTAGAATTAATACATTACTAGAAAAAAGTTCTTTTCACCGCATATGGACTATCCCAATTGGTGTCTATTTCCCTCGATTGTCTTGTTGGATTAGAAAGATCTTTTTAAGACTGATTCTCTTTCTTGGTATTGTTAAGGTTAAATCATCTTTTCGTGTAGTTGCATTATTATTTTTTGATATAATTGACCATAACACAATGCTATCATTCTTTTCTTCTCAACAAGGTTCAATTGTTCGTAGCGATTTCTCACCTATCCTGCTTCTTCTAAGTCAACCTCCATAAGAACTCTTAGGGAAAGAATCTTTACTTCAATTAGCAACACTGTTTCCATACCATAAACTAGTGAAAATTTAGTAGCTCTAATGTATATTCGCATTGAGGTCTTATAAGCATGCAAGGCAAAAGGCAACTTATCATGGTAATCCTTATAGGTATTAGTCATCTTTTCTAAAATCCTTTTGGTGCTCTTGTTAGTAGTCTCTATTGCTCCATTCATCTTTGGTTGACAGGGTGTAGAATTGTGATGCTTGATATTGAATAGAGCACATACTTCTTTCATCATTTTTCTATTTAAGTTCTTAGCATTATCAGTAATGATCCTTTTTGGAAGTTTATATCAACATATTATCTCTTTTTTCAAGAATTTGGTGTCATAACTAGTAGATCCGTGGACCTATCGTTAGACTTATAATGAAAGGGAGTTGCCACCAATCTTTTTTGGTGAGGTGTGATTGGCCACCTGAAACGTATTATGGTTTATGAAAATAAATGTTAGGTTCGAGAGTCGGTTACGTATGAGGAAGGTTGTAATACCCCCACAACGCCCATCTAAGGATGGTACCAATTTGATTCCAAATTATCAAAGTCTTGATTATTTTTTATGATTTACCAAATAATTTAATATTGAAGATTAACCCTAAAATTATCCCAATAATTTAAAATAAATGAAAGAAAACAAAACTTCAAATAAGAAACTCAAAATATAAAATGGATAAAATGAAAATAAAAATGAAAATTAAATGAAAAGAAAAAAAAAACCTGCAAAACAGTTCAGATTTGAAAGCAAATAGACGCACGGATCAACCGAAACACGCGTGGGTCAGGACCTCTCCATTTCGTACAGCTTTGCACGGAGTACTTTAAGTGCTTTGGCTTTGTTCATATGCTGGGATCGTTTATCTTGTATGGATACTGTAATACCAGTGGGCAAATGTGTGACTCTAACTGCACTGTTGGTGGTGTTTGAATGTTGACAACCAGAACAACCGGACCTGTAAGTATCAATTCTCAAATCTTCATTCCTTAATTGGACATCTACCTTATCAGCCTGAGGGAGAATAGCAACTGATACCGCACTAGTGTGGATACGTCCAGACTTCTCTGTCAGAGGAACACGCTGAACTCTGTGAATTCCACTCTCAAAAAAAAAAAAAAATTTCCAACTGGCGAGACATCATGACCGTTAATAAAGATCATCAGGCAGAACTGAAAGTTGCAATTGCATCCCTTTCGCTCTTAAACATCTCCTGGATTGATGCCGATTTCTTAACAGAAGTAGGAAACAGCCTCAGACCCTTTGGTGGAATATCACGAACACTAGACTTGACATTTTTAGGGATTCACTCTACGAAGTATGATGAGTTCTTGTTCTGGACATTAATCATTTGCTCATCAACCTCCTTAGTGCTCATCTTACCACGGAACATTGCAGAAGCAGTAGGGAATCGGCCATGGCGTGAGTCAGCAGCACATATCACGTTTTTGGCATCCCACATCTGCTGAGTCAGTTCAGGCACAGTGAGGGCCCGGTACTGCTGCGATCTTCTGGATGTCAAGGGTGCAAATCCAACCATGAACAAGTGTAGTCGTGGGAAGGGGATAAGGTTAACGGCCAACTTACCGAAATCAGAGTTCAGCTGTCCAGGGAACCGCAGACAACATGTCACACCACTCATGGTAGCAGAGATGAGGTGGTTAAGATCACCAAAAGTTGGAGTGGCAGGCTTGAGCTTGATGAAGCGCCTGACGGGTGATTTCTTGGCATAATCTTTGCAGATAACCTTGCTTAAATATTTCTTCATTCCTACAACCAAACAGTGACCATAGAGGCGGTCACGTATGCCTTCGTTGAAGGACTTCACGACCACCGTTTTTCGTCTGGCATATTTGTCTTGGAAGATGATCCTAGCCTTGCCAGGGTGGTACTTGTCGAAGAGAATCCTGTGGTGGTGCATGCCTCCAGCGTTTTCATGACCCCTCAAGTGCTTGCGATGCTTGTCGATGCAGCTATGACTAGCGCTCGCGTGGCCACGCTTTCTATGGTTCTTTTTAAAGCGGGTTATCATTTCTGATTAGTGCAGAGTTGGGAAGGGATTAAGGGCGGCTGACAGAGAGTAGGAGCAGGAAGATCAACAAACATGAAATCTGCAATTACGGCCCCCATTGCATTGTGATGGAGGTTGCTTGGCGAGGGCCTTTTGCCGATTAACCAGGGTCTTGGCAGTGGATGGCTGTAATGCTGGATTCGATGCAGTGTGGGAGAAAAAATTTTTTCTTTCTGAAGGGGCTGGTTGAAGAGGTATCACAGAATTTTCAATATCACATTCAAAATAATGGAAGGCCATTCCCAAGCGCATTAGCCACCGACACAAACAATGGCTTGGTAACTATCGCCATCGCGTTCTTATTTTCATCCAAAGCCTGGACCACGTGGATCACTCCCGGGGTGCCTCAGCCTCAACAGCCTAGCCGCATCTGATCGTATAGGATCGAAGAAAGAATCCTACGCCACCTTGAAAAGGCCCGCACGCGCGCATGCCTCTGAAAACACCATCTTGTCCAGAATCCAAGCGCAAACCGTGGGATACTGGTGGGGACGCGTTCCGTCATGCCTTTGCCAAGTACAACTTCCAGGCAAGCCCTGGTCTTGCACGATCCGCCTCCTAGAGAACGAGACAGCATTTCTCGGCAGTCACCATGAGAGTTTTCTACCCCATTATCACTGAATGGAAAATGATCCCAATTTCCAGAATCAGGAAAACCAGCTTCTGTTTAAGCTTCAACATTTCCTCGTTCGAAAATCATGGCTGGTGGGCCACCCTGAAGGAAGAAACACAGAGAAAAAGGACGCGAGTGGTGGTGTTGGAGAATGATCTTCTCCTTGTTTTTCTGATGGAGTCTTAGGTAGAGGTTTCTAGGTATTGTATATGAGGCTTTCTGTGTTGGCTTTTGGGCGTGGATTCAACCTTTTTTAGGCTCCTCCCCCTTGATTCTTTGCATGAATTATGCCAAACCAATCTGAACTGAATCACCAAGAATCATGCTCCAATGGATCCGTGATTGAATCACCAATTATTCCTATAAATTCAAGATTAAATCACCAAGAATTATCCCACAATAGCACCACGTTTTTCTCTTTCTTTTGATTTTTCTCCTTTTATTAATTTTTAATTTTATTTTTGAAAAACAAGTAAAATCAAAACCAAATCAAATTAAAATTGAAAATTTTTTTATTAGACCCAAAGCTTCTCAATCGGGCCCAATTAATGGTTAAAGGTCCATTGTTATCCCAAAAATTTTTCAGACAAAATATGGTGTCTACAGCTACCCCTCATTGTGCATTTTCTGTGGAACAGAAATTGTACAAAGACAAAAGACATGTATTTTGTTTGGGAATAAAAGCTGAGATCGGATGATCATGATGAAATCATGAGCCATAAAAAATTATCTGGATTGAGCCAAGATCGGGTCTGAAGATGATCTAACTTGAGTCGAGATCAAAAGGCTGAGATGATGTCGCAAGTCGAAAGGTGACCAAGACCGAGTCGAGGTCAAAAATAAATGACTGAGATGGAACCCCAGTAAAAAATGAGATGGTCAGGACTAAGTCCAGGTCAAAAATAAATCACCGGAACGGAACCACGAGTCATAAGGAATGATCTGGACTAAGCCAAGATCAAGTAACCGGGACAAAACCACGGGTCAAAAATGAGGCGACCAAGATGAGTCGAGGTCGAAAGTAAATCACTAGGATGAAACCACGAGTCATAAGGAATGATCTGGACTGAGCCAAGATCAAGTGACAAGTCAAAGTGAGGCGACCAGGACTATCAATAGGGCATGGAGAAAAAGTACATAAAAATTCTAGTGGTCTTTATGAGATAGATGCTATTTCATCCATTAACTCTTAGTTGGCAACCTTGACAAAAAAGATAGAAGCCTAAGGATCTCCATCTCTACCTAACCCTGTTTATATAATTCAAAAGCCTTTTTGTCTTATGTGGTATTTGTGAAGGACCTCACTCAAGTGACAAGTGCCAATATAAGGAAAATATAGTCCAATTTTTTCAATATCATTCAAGCCATGGATAGTCACCCATCCTTGAAACAATAGTGTGCCAACAAGCCACCTTACAAGATCAAGCCAAATCTATTAGGAACTTAGAACTTTAAGTTACCCTTTTAGCCTTAAATTTCCTAAATCAAGAAGAAGAGGTAGTAGGAATAACTTTAAAAAGCAAAAAGTCTTTCGCCGAACAACCTATCACTTAAAAGGTGACTTTCAAGAAAGCAATTGAAGAAATAATAATGGAAAATGGTAAAAGAAAGGAGCCTCCATCAGAAGAAACTTCAACTACCCCAATAATTCCATCTCACAAAGATTACAGAGATAAAAAGAAGAAAGACAATTTGCAATATTTGCTGATATCTTCAAAAACCTCTAAGTTGCCATTTCCTTTGTTGAAGTCATAGTGCACATGCTTAAGTACACAAAATTTCTAACAAGGATTTTATCCAAAAAGTGATGATGGGATAACTATGAAACTATAATGGTATCTCAAGAATGCAGTACTATTTTACAAAAAAGGATACCATTAAAACTGAAGGATCTAACGAGTATCACTATCCCTTGTACTATTGATAATCAATATTTTGTTAGTGTAATGCCTTTATCTACTTTTAGGAAAATAGGTAAAAAAGATCTTGAACCAACCATGACGATGATCCAACTAGCTGATGGATCCTTGAGACATGCTAAGGGCATAGCAGAGGACTTGCTGGTATGAATGGGAAATTTTATGCTTCTTGTGGATTTCATAGTTTTAGACATGCAAGAAAATGCCAAAGTTCTAGTTATCTTAGGAAGGCCTTTTTGAGAACTAGAAAGGCCATAATTGACATGCAAAAAGGGGAGTTGACAATGAAGACACATGATCAATAGGAGATTTTCAACACAAAGCTATCCAAAAAGGTGAAAGCTCAAAAAGATTTTGAAGAAGCTGGACTCATAACAATGTGCTCTGAACTAAGAAATGACTTTAAGATGGGATTCTCACTTGCTCAAAGTCTCAAACAATCTATTGAGAGGCCCCTTACATTAAAGTTGAAGCCTTTTCCATCTCACCTTAGGTATGCATTCTTTGGTGAAACATCCACTATCCCATTCATTATCTTTGCAGCCTTGAGCAAGATGTAAGAAGATAAGCTTTTAGTAGTGTAAAAGAAACACAAAAAAACATTTGTTTGCTCGATAGTAGACATTAAGAGTATTAGCCCTACCATATGCATGCCTAAGATTTTATTAGACGATAACCATAAAGCAATAATTGAATAGCAAAAGTGTCTAAATCCTGGCATGAAAGAGGTAGTGAATAAATTACCAAGTGCTTAGATGTTAGGATCATCTATCCTATATCATATAATACATTGCTGAATCTAATCTAATTTGTACCAAAGAAGGGATGAATGACAGAAATTAAAAGAATTAGCCCGGCCATATGCATGCATAAGATCTTGTTAGATGATGACCACAAAGCAACAATTGAATAACAAAAGTGTTTAAATCCTACCATGAAAGCGGTAGTGAATAAAAAAATTATCAAGTGGTTAGATGATAAGATCATCTATCCTATATCATACAGTACATGGGTGAGCCCAATCCAATGTGTACCAAAGAAGGGAGGAATGATAGTGGTCACCAATAAGCACAATGAGTTGATTCCAACTCAAATTGTTTTGGGATGGAAAGTTTGCATAGATTATAGGAAATTGAATAAAACTCACAAAGATCATTTCCTATTGCCTTTTATAGACCATATGTTGGATAGGCTAGCTGGTCATTAATATTATCATATACTTGATGGGTACTCTAGCTACAATCAAACAGCCATAGCTCCACAAGACCAAGAAAAACCATTTTCACATGTCTATATAGTACATTTGCTTTTAGAAGAATACCTAATGCTCTAGCCATATTCCAATTGTGCATGATGGCCATCTTTTTAGACATGGTGAAAGATATCTTAAAATTTTGAAAAAAAAAAATTAAAAAGGGAAGCATTTTTTTGAAAGAAAAAAGAAAATTTTCTTTTAACATATAGTTCATTCATTTTATGGTTATCCAAAATTTGCAATTTCAGAAATGTTTTAAAATAAAATGAAGAAATTTTTTAGCATTATCCAACAAAAACAACAAATAAACAAAAATTTTCTTAAATAAAGGTTTTTCTTAAATTTTTTTGGCCAAATAAAATTAATGAAAAAAGAGAAAAATCTTCAAATCCAATTATTTTTTATGATGAAAAAAATGTGTGTTCTAAAATTTTTTCCTTTTCCAAAAAAAAAAGAGAAAAAGAATTTTAAATTTGAATGTTGTTTTGTTTTTCACATTTCATTTGATCTTTTACATGCATTTTTCATCATGTTAAAAAAGAAAAAGAATAATCGAAAAGTATATATGCCCCATCCCATGCATCTTAATAGATAGTATATGCATCCCATTTAATGCACATCATAATAAGATAATACACGTATTACATCCCATCCACATCAATGGATAGTACATGCATCCCATTTTATGCACATGCTGATAAATGATACATGCCTCCCATACGCATCTTAATAGGTAGTGTGTGCATTCCATTTGATTACATATTTTTAGGAAGTGTTAGTTTCATTAGGTCGACATAACACAAGCAATTCCATGTAGACATATCTTGTGCACTTCATATGTTCATACATTCCATATAAGTAGGTTGCATTAATTACATTCCTTGCATACACATTCATGGATGAGGAAACTTTTACCATTTGGGGCCTACATATAAAAATCCATTATCTTAGGCATATTTGCACTTCATGACATTTTTTAAAACATGCTTTGTGTGTCACATATGTTAGAAATTATTTCTATAGCATTCATTCAATAAGGGTAATAGTATAAAATTTTTAGTAATGACTATCTTGGTGGGAATTAGAATGGCAAAAATGGGAGATCAATTGGTAGCAAGGATTAGTACATTGGAGTTGAATCAAAAGGAATTTTGGCTTGAGCTTCGAGAGATGA